TCCCTTGGGATTGTTTTCCCTCTTTGTCATTGGCATGGCTTGAGATCTCTAGGCCTGATGTTTTCATGGGAAGTAATCAGAGGGTTAAGAAGCTGGTGCCCTAGAATGAGTTATGAACTTTTGGACCACATCTTGAAATACAGGAATGATGAGCTCCTGACCAGGGATGGAGTGCCCCTAACAAGCCCCACTGAGGATGCATTTACCTACAGTCTTCCAAATCTCAAAAAGGGGTTTAAGCAGATGGAGAAGTAGAAGAGAGAAAAATGCCTGCATAATTCCACTAAGTGAGAGGTCACAGAGCTCAGGTACAGAGAAGTGTGAGGCTATCTATCTATCTATCTGTCCACACACACACACACACACACCTATGCACATACATACATATACACATATTTGCATCTATTATATATGATACTATACATGGAGATATACTATATATAATGTATTTCCACATATTTGCTTCCTTGGAAATCTTTTGTATTTAACTTCATGCATTTAAAAGCATGATGCCAGGTGGAGCAACCCCAACAGGAACAGCATAATCAACCGAGTACCTGTGAAGCACCTGCTACGTGCTAGGCACTGTACTAGTTGCTAGGGACAAAAAGTCAACAAATGAAAGGGTCCCTTACCTCAAGGAGCCTACATTCTATAGGAAGAGCAAACAAGCACATATACACTTGTAGGCAGAACAAATACAAGATAGTGTGGGAGGGAAGGCGCTAGGAGCTGAGGGTGGGGAAGTCAAGGAAGTCTTGGTGTCAAAGATGGCGCTTGAGACGTGTTCCGAAGGAAGCAGAAGATCCTGTGGGGTAGGAGTGAGTCACCCCTTCACGCAAGAACCCTAATCACAAATATTTCCTGGTTGTGGGGGCAGAACAGCACTGATATTAAGAATATGTGCTACGTAAGGGAATCCAGAAGCTAGAGTTGGGGAAGAAGGCAGAGAGCAGTCGTGTTACCAAAGGGAGGGGTAATGAGCACCTAGAAACAACAGCAGGGACTGCAAAGAGCCAGAAAGCCAGTTGGATTAGGCTCATTTCATTTTGGACAGAGTCTAGATTAGTAGACTGGGGAAATATTGTCGGTGGTTTGTCTAGATTTTAGCAACGTATTTGACAAAGTGCTGTTTTGTGGATAACATAGAGAGATGTGCGCTAAACGATATATAATTGGGCCCATTCATTAGCAAGTTGTTGAATGGGCTACAAAGAGAAGTCATTAATGGTTCAATGTCAGATTGGAAAGCAATCCCTCCTGGAAGCGGGCAGTGCCCTGCTGGCATGCTGGTGTTTTTATCCATGATTTAGATACAGGCACAGAGGGGAGAAGGGAAGGGGGACTTGGGAATACGCATTTATGTAAAGCCTTCTGTGTGTCAGACGCTGTGGTGAGGGCTTGACAAACAGTTTCTCCTTTGATCACCATTCTCATCAAATTTCCAGAGGACACTCTGTTGAAGGCCTCCAATTTATGCTGTCTATACCTTCCTCCTACATAGTTATTTGCATGTTGTCTCCCCCAGTAGACTGCGAGCTCCTTGAGGGCAAGGACTTTCTTTGGCCCCTTTTCTGTGTCCCAGGGCTTAGTACCCAGTAAGCACTTAATAAATGCTTACTGATTCACTAACACAAAGCTGGGAAAGACAGCTGCTACATTGGATGGTGGGGTTTCTGAAAGGAGCTAAAAAATTAAATGATAACAGTTCATAGGGATGATCACGTATCAGATATGTCGAACGGAGATCCCTTTGATGTGTGAGTTACAGCAGAGAGCCCCTGGGGGCCCTTCCACTTCTCATCTTCTGTGATTCTATTTTAACAAATGAACAAGGTTATTACTAAGTAGGACTGGTAGGCACATTGTTAGGTAGGGTTTGAAGGCAGGCGTGGGAGAGGCAGAAAGGCGCCAGGTGAAAGGCCCTGGACTCTGGCACAAGACTTTGGTTCAAGTCCCAGCTCTCAGACCACAGGCAAAGTCACTTTCCTTGACTCCAGCCTCAGTCTTCCCATCTGTAAAACTGACAGAACAATACCTGCACTATTTACCTCACAGGGTAATACGTAGACCTTAAAGCTTTATAGGGAGAGAAGCTACTCCATTGACCATCATATTGCTTTGGGAGATTGAGGTACAAAAAACATTTCTTTGGGGGCAGCTAGGCAGTGCAATGGATAGAGCACCAGCCCTGAAGTCAGGAGGACCTGAGTTCAAATCTGGCCTCAGACTAAACACTTGACACTTACTAGCTGTGTGACCCTGGGCAAGTCACTTAACCTCAGTTGCCTAAAAATAAAAAATTTTTAAAAAAATTCTACAAAAACCATTTTTTTGTCACCTCTCCAATATCTGGAGGCTTCTGCAGATCCGGATGTGAAGGTGAAGCTGAGGAACATTACTGTTTGGAAGGCACAGCCTCCGTGAAGAATGGACTTGTCTTTGTGCCGTGGAGGGTTTTGAATGACCGTTTTGAGGAGGCGACAAAAGTGTCTTTACCTCATTGGGCGATGTTGCCATTTGTTTTTTCTGAGCTGAAGGAGGAGGGAGGTTACTTAGCAGGTTAGGAAAAGCTCTCCGGGCCTCGGAGAGGTCCCACCAGCCTCTCCTGTAGACATCACTGTCCGGCCTTGGGCACTGCCATTCCTCATCCCCCATGTCCATCACCTCAGGATTCTTTGTGATGCCTGGTCCTGGATAGAGGAAGACCTCAGCTCAAATGGCCTCACGTTAGTCATAACCCTGGTCAATTAACCTCTTTCTGCAACTGCTTCCCCTTCTGTAAAATTAAAGTGAGGGACATGATGACCGTAAAGTCTATTCCAACACTAAATCTGTGCTCCATCATTTATACCTCTCATAATAGTGGGTTATGTACACAGATCTGTCCACTTCCCTCATCTTCTCTTTTTTTAAAATTTTTTTTCTGTTTTCTTTTTTAGGCAATTGGGGTTAAGTGACTTGCCCAGGGTCACACAGCTAATAAGTGTCAAGTGTTTGGTCTGAGGCCGGATTTGAACTCAGGTCCTCCTGACTTCAGGGCCGGTGCTCTATCCACTGCGCCACCTAGCTGCCCCTTCCCTCATCTTCTCAAAGGCTTTTGGTATTGCCTACCAAGTAAATTTGAAGCTGGCATTCAAGCCCCAGACTTATCTCATACAGTGCCACACCATGCATTCTATGCTTCAGCCAGACTGAACTCTCCTCTGGTCCCTAAACTTGCTCCCTATTCTTCAGCCTCTGTTCATACTGGTCCCTGTGCCTGAAACGTCCACTGTCCCACCTTCTCTCATCCGCCAACATGCCTCCCTTCCCTTAGAGGTAAATTCATATGCCAATACCTCCAAGAAACCTGCCTCCTCCTGAGCCTCTCCCCTCAGGCCTGACACAGTACTTCATGTTGAGACTTCATTAGACATTGATCACTCAAGACGACAATGACGATGATGTGTGTGTGTGTGTGTGTGTGTGTGTGCGCGCGTGCACGTCATTCCTTATTCACTACCTAGACTCACCTAGAACAGGCCTCTGTACATAATAAATGCTTAGTAAGTCTTTGTTGAATGGCTGAATGAATACCTCCAAAACTCTTTCCCCAGTCCCTACTCAATCCTTCTGTGAGGGGCAGCTAAATAGAGTACCAGCCCTGGAGTTAGGTGGACCTTAATTCAAATCTAGCCCCAGACACTTACTAGCTGTGTGACCCCAGGCAAGTTACTTAACCCCAATTACCTCCAAAAGGAAAGAAAAAAATACTTCTCTGAAATACCAGCCCCAAATTTCCCACTCCAGGTGAGGGCCCCTCAGCTAGATGTCACCTGAAGCCCAGCATATCCCTGTTACGTGAGGAGCTGTCACGTGGAAGAGGGCTTTGTCTCACTGTGTTTAGCCTTCAAGGACGGAACGAAGAATAATGGGGTGGGGGGGGCAGGGCACAAAGAGTAAAACTTAAGATTTGAAGTCAGGAAAAACTTTCCAATAATTCAAGTCTGTGCTGAGGAGGGACTGCAGAAGGGGAGAGTTTTGGGGGCCGGGGGCCTCCCCTCTCAGGAGGTCTTTGAGGTGACCATTCAGTGCGTTATGTCATTGAGGGCATGCTCGCTAGCTGCCCACCAAAAACGCTGCCACCTTCCTCCTCAGACCCATCCCTTCCTCCTCCCCACTGCCCAAACCCTTGGGCATCGTGCCCAATCCTCCCTTTCTTCTCACCCCACCGCATCCCATCAGCGGGTAATCGGTGGCCAAGCCCTGCCCATCTTCCTCCTAAATAATTCTCACACACAATCAACTTGACAGGCACTTATTAATTACCTTCTGTAAGTGCTAAATAAATCATTGCTGACTGACTGATACATTCCCCTCTTCCACCCTCCTGGCCATCACCTGTCAGGTCCTCATCATCCCGGCACTAGTCAGATAATCCTCCCTCAAACCAGCCTTCCCAGGGCCTGAGAAAGCAGATACCCACCTCCTCATTTTACAGATGAAGAAACCGAGGCCCAGTCAGAAGTCCAAAGCCTTTCATAGCCCATCTCCCCCTCTCCACTACCCTGTCTTCTTATACCTTACACACATTACCCCCCCCCCCCGGCTTTGATCCAGCAACACTGGCCTCCTGGTTGTGCCTAGCACCAGACACTCCATCTGTCCACTCTGAGCCCATCCCCCTGGGCCTCAATGCTCCCCGCCCCCCATCTCTCGTCCTCCTTCAAATTCTGGCTAAAATCCCACCTTCTATGGATGCCTCTCCCAATTCTGGTGCCCTCCCTCTGTTAACGATCTCCAATTAACCTTTTATCTCCATCTTGTTTCCAGAGATCTCCCCATTAGACTGTGAGCGTCTTGAAAACAGGCCTGTCTTTGCCTTTCTTTCAGCGCCCCCCACTTGCCATACGAAGAACAGACCTTCCACTCTGGACAAATAAAGGCGTCAGGTTGATTTTTTTTTGTTTTTGTTCTTTTATTGAAACAGTAAACCATCCCCCCCCACAGCACGGCAGGAGGTGGCTGAGGTTACAAGCTGGGTACAGCTCCATTTTGTCTGGCGAGGTCAAAACCAGTGCCCTGTAACCAACATCCTGGCCTAGTAATCACCATAAAAACAGCTAATAGCTCAACACTGAATAGAATTAAATTTCTCAACCGAAGAAATGGTGCCTTACAACGGACTTGAAACAGGAAACATTTTGGTCTCTGACTCAATGGGGCAGCTCAGGTCAGCCTGGGGACTGAGCAGGGCTGCAAAGTGGATGGGGCCCCCCAAAGGGTCCTGAGGCTGGGGCGGTAAAGAAAGAGGAGGGAGTTAGGACCCTCTCTCTTACTTTTAGGTGATGCTGCATTTCCCCCTTTGCCCCCAACTCATCTTTGGCCCATGATTAGAATATCTAAGGGAGTAGAACAGTTCCCACCCCTGGCAGCTGGGGCCTGCCCACAGCTGGTCCCTTCCAAAATCCCAAGGGGGAAAGGGAACCAGGTGAAGAAGTAAATTAATCTTTGGGGAAGCTCAGGGGCTGGCCCATCCCTTCTGTCTTCTGCTGGGGAAACACTCAATTCATTCTTGGCCCAGTGAAGCCCCAAACCGGGCCAGACCACCTTCCCCTTCCCCCAGTGGGAACACGCCTCTTCTCCGTCCCCAGCCTGGCCATCCCTGGCCCCCATTTTCCCAGGTTAATTATCTAGAGTCAATGAGACTTCTCCTAACATAACATTTAACTAATGACCAACAGCACCGCTTTGGTGACACCTGTCCCTCTGCCTCCTGGTGGTGCAGCCAGGCGGCAGGGCCAACTCCCTCTCTCTCCATACGCCGGGTGTGCCCTGAGGACCCAGCCGGGCACTCAGTTGGCCGGCTCCTGCGGAGACGGCTGGCTGTGCTCACACATCACCCCCGAGTCCGAGACATCGGTCAGGGTGGCTGAAAGGGAAATAGAACGAGGCTGGGGTTATCGGTTTGAAAAAACATGACAAAATTTGTTTCTAGGTTCCTCCCAATGCACAAAGCTACTCACAGCCACAGAGCTAGTCCGAGGCAGGATTTGAACTCAGTTCCCCATCTCCCATCCAGTGCTCTGTTTACTAACCCTCTGCCTCTCTGGGGTGGGGCCCTGGCTCAATGGGGCTCTATGTCTGGGGATTCTTTCTGACAAAAGAAAAGGCATCTGGATAAGGGGGTAACTTGTCTGCTCGAATTCGCTTTTCCTCTTCTAGGCACACACAATTCTGAAACCAGAGTTGACAGGAAGCCACTGGGTCTGTCAACAGGGGTCCGTCTCTCTCTCTCATGAGTCCTTCTATCAGCTTCGCCAGGACCGGCAGACACACAGCAGGCACTTCAGCCACACTTGGCGACCCGCCTTCCCTTCCTGAGCTCCTCCCCACCCCCTCGGTGGCAGCCCTCCTGACCTACCAGTCGATTCCTTGTCGGCCAGAATGTTCAGTGGGAGAGGAGGCGGGATATAGCGTATCCCTGGCAGAAAGCTCGGAGGGATGAACTGAGGCAGCGGTGGGTAGTAGCCTTGTCTGAAGTCTCCACTAGTATCCTGCATCTTTGAAAACAGAGACCAGAGCTGTGAGTCCACACGGGGCAGGGGGTACAGAGAAAAAGGCAGCACTTAGAGCGGAGGCCCACACCAAGGTCGCCTGTCCCTCCCCGTCACTGGGCCGTGTGCTTGGGGGGTATTTACCTCTTTTCTTTATTTCCTGAATGGAAACCAAACACGTCTGCTGTCTCTTTTTTTTTCCTCTCACTTCTTTTAAAAGGGCAGGGGCTGGGGGGCACACTTTGGGACCAAATGGAGCTGTGGAGGGGCAGTGGGCTGACAGAGCTGGATACAGCTGGGAGGTGGGAGGGATGAGGCCAGAGCCCAACTGTCTGAAGGTCGAAGGATCTTGGACCAGCCAAGAAGGGGCCCAAACAGTCCATCACAACCACCTCGCCTTCCTCTGGGCCTTGGAAGAGCAATTAAAATGATTCTGTCCCAAGCCACAAAGGACCTGCCGGTGTCGCCTGCTCTGTGGGGACTGACTGGGCTGTGGCGGGAGGCTTGAAGCTGTCTGAATAAACGCAGCCCAGATCATCCAGGCTTCACAAAGAGCCCGTCTAGCAAACCTGTCAGTCAGACCCTGTCCCTGTCTCAGCCCAGCTGCTTTCTTTGCACCGAGCCCCCCAAGCGTCTCTCAGTGGGCCAGCAGCCACCTAAGTGAAGGCAAGGATTCCAGGGCTCTTGGTGACCTTTGAGGGGGACCCTGCAGGAAGTAGGGTAGCATTAGAGACCCTGGAAGAGTGTCTGGTAGTTTTTTCCAGTAGACACTGGAAGAGATACTGGTTGTTTTTAAATGAATGCACACATTTCCAAAGCCAGAAAATTCCCCATCTGTGGCTCAGGGATTTATTTTCTGACAAGACAGCTCAGTGAATGGGGAAGAGGTTAATCTAGATGCCAGAATCTAGAATGCAATGCTTCCCCATGGAGAGAGCACCGTGGGGGTGGGGGTGGGGGCTTGTCAAGGGGTAATGATTAAGTCAGAGCGGAGATCCGAGGGTCCTAGGACACTAGACTGAGCACTTGAAGGGACCTCAGAGGCAACCTAGGCTGACCCCTTCATTTTACAGATAAGGAAACCGAGGCCCAGAGAGTTGAAGGGCCTTGTCCAAACTCATCCAGCTAGGAAATATTAGAGATGGCATTTGAACCCAGCTCCAGACTCAAGAGCATGTGTCTTTGTCACTGTACCGTGCTCTCTCTTTTCTGGGCCTCAGTTTCCTCTTCTGTGAAATGGAGTCATTTTGGGGAGAGGCAGGAGGGGTCAATCAAATCAGCTCTGACTTGGAGAGGGAACTCATTACTTCAAAGGACAACTCTGAAAGACGGGAACAAACTTCCTCACCTAGCAATCACTAAAAACAGCCAACAGCTCAGCACGGAGCAGAACTGAATTTTCCCTAAAGTCAGAACAGGCGGAAGCCAGAGAATCCCCAGCCCACTACTCACTAGCAAAGAAGAAGAGGTCCCCGCTCCATGGTTGCTGGGGACATGGCGGAAGCCCCTCTGGACGGGGATCGCTGGGGCAGCGGGGGAGCCACGGTAGCCGGGCTGGTTGATGAGGCCCAGCGGGAATGGGCGGTAGTGGTACATGTTGGCATAACCAGGGTACACTTTAGACGGCTCTCTCTCCAGATATTCAGGCCCCATCACGCATTCTGGGGCAAAGTTGGAAGGGCGCCCTAGAGGAGGACGAGAACAAGGGCCCAAGACAGAAAACCAGAGTCACCTACAAAAGCAGTGAAGCCCTAAGGCACGGTGATACTGCCCATCCAAGGACAGTGTTCATAAGGGAAATTCACTAGACACAGAGCCCTAGAACTCACTGACAAAGCATTTTCCTCCCACCAGATCTGAGGTCAAAGTACTATGACATCAGCCCCATTCTCCACTCAAAGAAACAAGAGTCCCAATAATGCCTGGCCCAGGGTAGCTAGGATGGGATCTGAACCCAGGTCTTCTGATGCCAAATCCCAGCTTTTTCCAGAACATTATGAGGTTGAAATTCACATACATGAGCTTATAAAAGTACTTTCTCAAATTATTTAACTGATTGCATCATAGCTACTCTACAGAGTATTTAGCTTGGCAGATAGATACCCATATCTTACCTATAGCACAAGGTTGTGGTGCAGAATGTGCTTTGTAAATATCAAAGGGCACATACAACTTAAGGCCTAAAGAAATGCAAGTTATAATTATCATGCCGTGTCCCCCCCCCCCACTACTTTGTGGGAATTGTGTCCAGTTGAGCACAGTATAACGAGGCCGATAGGGAGGGGGGTGGGGGGTGGAGGGTGGAGGGAAGGCGGCCCAGGTTCTCATCTTCTTCCCACTACTGAGTGACCTCAGACAAATCCCAGAACCTCACCAGCCTCAGTTTCCTGCTCTGTAAAATAGAAAGTTGAGCCTACGTGCTCTGTAAGGTCCCTTCCCACCTTAATATCATGCATTTCAAATTCAACGGGGTAAGTTTTCAAAGCCTAAAATTACATTAAGACATTTGGACTCTATAAAAAGAGAACGGCCCCCTCCCCGTAATACTTTTAGATTTCCAAAGTCTTCTTTTCTCTACCCCAGGGCTCGGTTTCCCCAGCTTTAAGAACGACAGGGCTGGATTAAAGGGTGCCCGTCTAGGATCGAAGGAGGCGGGGAGACCAGGCACCATCATGAGCCCCACTCTGCCCAGGAGGAAGCCGAGGCTCGGAGGCGCTGGGGGCCAAATGGCGGACGGACCCGCATTCCACCAAGGAACTGCTCTCACCCTTAGACATTCTGGGTTCCCCTCGGTCCCAAGCCGTCGGCTTTGGGGGAAGAGGGGGCAGAAGTGAGAGAGTTATCTAACCCAATCCTCTTTTTGGAAACAGGGAAACTGAGGCCCAGAGAGCTGGAGAAATGGCCTGCCGCAACCTACAAGAGCAACCACGAGGCCGGAAAAGCTGCCTTTTCTGGGCGTGAAGGAGGAAGGGAAGTCCCGGGGCCTAGCTACTGGGTTCCAGGCCTGTTTTCCCTTTGTAAAACCAGGGAGCTTGCCGGGACGGGGGTGGGGGGGGGGTGGCGTCCCTTGCAGCCGCCGGGCCTCCCTCCGGCCCAGGCTTCCCCCCCCCACCCCCTCCATACACCAGGATTGTGGGCCCAGGGTCCCGCAGGGCCGGATCGAGGGTCCTTACCGAAGTCAGCATAGGGTGGGCTAGAGGAAGCCGAGGTGGAGGCGGTGAGCGGCGGTGGCGGGGGGGGCGGCGGCGGAGCGGGCAGGGGCACGGGCATGGGCAGCGGCAGAGCCCGCCGGGGCCCGGCCTTGCAACAGCCATCAAAGCCCCGGGCGCCCACCCCTGCGGCCTCCGCGGCGCCTACGTGGCCGCCCCCGCCGTTGCTTCCGGGGCCCCGCTCGAACGGCCCCGGGGGGCCGGGCCGAGGGCCCCCGTAGGAGGCAGCTCGGCCGTCCGGGCCCGCATCCGCGGGGCAGGGCCCCGGCACGGGCAGGGGCAGCGGGCGGGCGCAGGGCGCGGGCCCCGGCCCGACGGCGGGCTCTCCGGGCGGGTCGTCGGGCTCGTCGCCGTCGTGCACCTGCCTCTTGAGCACCTTCTGTGCGGCCATGATCTTCTGTCGCTCGGTGATCAGATAGCACTTCTCGCAGGTGCACTGCTTCCAGCGACACTTGCCCACGTGGCCCTTGACGGGCACCAGGAAGCCGTGGTTGCGGCAGCGGGAGCACTTCGGGGTGCGCAGCATCTTGTCGGCGGGGGCCTCTTTGGGGGGGCTCCGTCTTCACGGCCCGGCCGCCGGGGCTGAAGGGAGAAGGAGGCGGCGCCGTCGGAGCAGGCGAGCGCCGCTGCTGCTGCTGCTCCTGGCGCCCCGGCGGAAGCCCCGTGTCCTCCAGGTCGTTACACTTGTAGCAAGTCGGCGCTTCTGCAGACCATTTGCATAGCAGCCCCTTTTTCGGGTGCAAGAGCGGCAAAGGCCCCTGCACCCCGGAAGCCCGCGGAGGGGAGCCCCGTGGGGTCTCCGTGCTCATCGGAGCCGGGCAGCCTGGACAGGCATAGGCTCCGGCGGCCTGCTCGGACAGCAGGGGAAACTGAGGCCCAGCGCGGGCTTCCTCCGCCGTCTCTGGGCTGGAGGAGTGCATGGCGCTCACCTCGAGTCCCCGGGAGCTTTCTGTTGCATGGAGACCTTCTGGGTGGGGGGAGGGTGTGGTGGGGAAGTGGGGGAGGGGGGTTGCTCCGGTTGAGCGCGAGGCTCTGGGTTGGTTTCCCTCCCCAAACTCTGCCAGCCTGGACTGCGTGCCCCCCCACCCCCAGACCAAGTTAGGAAATCTTTTGCGCTTGGGAACTTTGGAAGGGTGGCGGGACCCTTGCAACCGCCGCGACGCGCGCACTTGCCACCTCCTTGCAGAAGCAGACACCGAGGGAGCATTTCTGCAAGGCTCAAGTAGAAAAGATCCCCGGATGCAAAGAGCCTGGGTTCAGACCCTCGCTGTGCTCCCTCGAACCTACATGACCCTCGCTAGGCACTCCCCTCTCTTCTGTGCAAGGGGGGAGGCGTGGCACGAAAGAGCTCCAAGGGCCCTGCCCGGAGCAACGTTCGGGAATCTATCTTAGACCCAGAGGAGCCCTTCCCCCAAGTCGGTCTCAAGAGCACTGATTAAGCGCCTGCTGTGTGCAGACAATACACTCGTCTTCTGTGTGTATATATATGCACAATTATACAAATACATATACAAAGATATACGTTTATAAAGATGTATGGGGGAAGAGTGGGAGAGAAAAAGAGACGGTATGCATAAAGGAGATAAAAATAAACAATTTTCGGGGCAGCTAGGTGGCGCAGTGGTTAGAGTCAGGAGGACCTGAGTTCAAATCCGCTCTCAGACACATAATACCTCCTAGCTGTGTGAGTCTGGGCAAGTCACTTAACCCCAACTGCCTCACTCAAAAAATAGATAAATAAAAATTTCAAAGTTGAAAAAAAAGGAGTGGGGCACCTAACTACCGATTCTTCCAGTTTGCCCAAGGCGTCCCTTGTTTTGTTTACGATTATTACTAAATTTTAACTGAAAACTAGGGACTTCGAAGTCTGGCCCATCCCTCGTGATTATCCTGGGAGCATCAAATGAATTCGCCATCGAAATTTCCTCCGCTCTGGGCCAGATCGCTTGCCAGAACCACCCGGCCAAAGGGCCTAGCCTTTTGGAAGGTGGGAGGGGCCTGGCTGGCTGCAGACGTCCTTGCCCTTCGGGGCTGCCTCCCTAGGGGAGCTTCTGGCAGGCTTGTCTCCAGTAGGCTCTGAGTCCAGCCATCCTCTCGGATCCAGGTGGCGAACGCAGGTGGAAATCGCCTTTAGATTAGCGAGTGCAGGCTCTGAAGCATGCTCTGGCCGAGGCTCGGAACGTGCAGCCCCACTCCACCACGGTCCAGGGCCACCGACAAGCACTAAGCCCTGGGTGTTCCCAGGCCGAGCGGATACACAGACAGACTGCCCCTGCCCCCAGGACCACAGGCTTGCAACATGTGGACGTGTGGAACTGTAAGCCTGGGTAGGTGGCGTAGGTACAGGAGGGAAAAGAATGCCCTTCCCCTGCTGGGGCAAGTGGATCCAAAAAAGATTCACCCGACCCTAGAAGGGGCTGGCCACTGGGGGGCGGGGGGTGAGGGGGTGACGACATCCAGCTCTTATTGGTTACATAGACTAACAGAGATCACAGAGAAGGGTGAGTGGGGGGATGAGTGAGATGGGGGCAGGGAGGCACGGAGACAGTGCTCTGGGAGAGTGGGGGAGGCAGGGTGGTGGTAGCGGGGAAGACTTCCAGGGAGAGGTGACGCAGAGTTGGCCCTTGAAGGAAAAGAAAGAGTACAGTGGGCCCGGATTTTGAGGGAGCAGAATGTCATTTCCCAGCCTCCAGCACCGAACGTGGCAAAACCTTCCCGTCTTTTAAGACCCAGCCTGGGCGGGGACCCCCTCCAGGAAACCTTCCTGACCCCTCCCCCCCTCTCGGAGCTCCCTCTCCTCTGGCACTCAGTATCCCTCCTTTGGGACCCCTCCCATCAAATGTGGACGCTCCCTCTGTTAGCATGAGCCGAGAGACCCCAAATGCAGTCCTTTCTGGGAAACTGAGGCACTAACCTTTGCCATCCACCCTGGCTTTGGAGCCTGACCCTCTGAACTCTCCCTTCCTCCACAAGGTATTGGGATGTCTGCCTCTTTCTGTTTGTACTCCCAGTACTGGGCACTGGACCTTAGGAAGCTCTTAATAAAAACTTCATTCATTCACCTCCCAGCTCTGTAGTTTATTAGATGGGAGGTCTTAGGCAGGCAGGTAGTCAGGAAGCATTTATTAAGCACCTACTGTGTGCCAGGCACTGACTGTACTAAGTGCTGGGATACCAAGAAAGGCCCTGCCCTCAGGGAGCTCACCATCTAATGGGGGGAGATAACACGAAAACGGGAGGTAGAAATGAGACCTGGACAGAGGAGATGGGAGGTCACCTCAGAGGAGAAGGCACAGTAGCTAAGAGGGCCTTAGGGGCGGAGGAGAGGCCCCCTGCAAAAGGTGGAATTTTAACTGAGTCTTGAAGGAAGCCATGGTGAGAAAAGTGATCATTGTAGCTGTGAGGGTCAGCCTGTGCACAGGAATAAAAATGGGGATAGGGTTTCTTGTGCGAAGGGGGGTATAACTGTGCCCTAGAGAACATGGAGGGAAGAAAATGTGAGAAGACTGGAAAGGCAGAGGAAAGGGATGGGTTTGGAAGAGCCTTGAATGCCAGAGAACTTTATATTTGATCTTGGTGGTAACAGTCATTGGGGTTTATTAAGTAGACCTCTGCTTTAGGAAAATCACTTTGGTGGCTAAATTGGGACAGACGGATTTGGGGCAAGGACAATGAGGTGAAGAGGGGTGCGCACCAGGGTGACGGCAGTGAGAAGGGGGGGCTAATGTGAGAGATATTTTGACAGTGGAGTGGACAGACCTTGGGAACAGATTTAATATGGCGAGTGAGGGAGAGGTTTCAGGAGAGACCTAGATATCCAGCCAAGGGTACTGAGGAGAGTGGTACCTTGGACAATAATAGTCTAATAGACTATGATCTCATAGAATCTCTGAATTGGGAGGGGGTCTCAGAGTCTAACCCAGCTCCTTTATCACATCTTTCCTGACCCTTCCCCACCCTGATAACAGCCATCTCTCCCCTAGATTTCTCATTGCTATCTCTATACTTTTTCTTTATGCTTCTCACATTCTACCTTGTATTACAGGTATGCTCCCTGAGGACAGGTTCTCTTTTTCTATCCCTTGTACTTAGCAAGTCCTTACACATGGTAGGTGTTAAATAAGTATTTCTGGAAATGGATTTAAATTCGTTTCATAGAATGGTAAAACCAGAAGGTAGCTTGGAAATTAGGTTCTATTCTCCTCCTTTTACAGATGAAGAAAGCTGAGATCTGGATGGTTTCATTTTTTATCTTTGTATCTCCACCTTGTAGCACTGTGCACAAAGTAGCCTCTTGTTAGCTGACTGATTGGCAAAAATGATTTAAAAAACAATGAAATTCAGTGCTAGTGGGGCTATGGAGAAACAGGTACGCTCATTTGTTGCTGGTGGTATTGCAAACTTATAGAGTCTTTTTGGAATAAAATCTGGCAGTTTACGAGAAAGGTTAGAAAAGTAATCATCCCCTTTGACCCAATTATTTGTTTTTGAAAAATAAAAATAGGAACTATCTGTCCAAATATTTCCGTGGCAGGACTGTATGACTGCAAAATCCGCACACCTAATCTGGAAGCAACCCAAACATCTGACAGTGAGGGAACGAGTGAATACATGGCGGTACATTAGTGTAATGGAAAACTATAATTCAATTAGATGTATGAGGACTGCAAGGAAATAGGAGAGACCTTTAGTAAGTAAAGCAAAACAGAAGCATAGGGTCTACACTAATTTCAATCATCTAAGAGGAAAAGTGAATCAGTATGAAGGGAGAAGGAAGCCGATAAAGACATAGGGCAAGGGAGGGACTGACAAGTTGTGATGTTTTGCGTGCTGAATTTCACTTGTTTAAGTTGAAAAGCAAATTTAAATTATTGTATTGATATTATTTAGATTAAAAAGTAAGGGATAGGGGCTAGACCTGAGATGATATCAAAAACTCCCTCTATATCTAAAGTACTAGAAAGATGCCTGAATCACTGAGAGGTAACTGACTTGTGTACGGTCTCACAGCCCCTTGGTATCAGAGTCAGGACTTGAAGCTAAGATTTGAACACAGATCTTCCCGGTTCCAAGGCCAGCTCTCCGGCTAACTGTTTTGGTGAGTCATTTTTCTAAAATTTAAGGAAGGAATCGAATGCTGAGAGAAGAAAGGATTTGCCTTCACTCACTACACATTCTTCCCATGCGGACTCTGTGGGTTTCAGGATAATGCGTCATATGGCCATGTGAATTTTCATTGCACTTGGAGAATATGAGTAAGCAACTAATTGAAAGAGTCCAAAATTTCAGGGTTTGGATGGAACCCCGGGCAAGTCATTCATTCTGTTTGCCTTGGTTTCCCCATCTGTAAAATGAACTGAGAAGGAAATGGCAAATCGCTCTAGTATCTTTGCCAAGAAAACCCCAGATGGGGTCATGACTGAAACAACCGAAACACAACAAAATGTTTCATGACCGGCTCTCCCAGCGGTAGGGTCTGGTTCTAATGCAGCCCAGCTCACTCAGCGTCTCTGACATTCTGAATGCCCAAAGTGACAGGCTTTGGAA